AATCCGCAATTTATCGTTTTGTTTCTTTGTATTCCACAGGTAGTGCCATTTCTGATGTAGAAGCTCAGGAACATTATGACAGATTCTTTGAGGTGTGCATTTTTTCCAAAAATTGAAAATATACAGTGTGAATTCTTCTTGTGGATTGCCAGGTGTTTCTTTCATTTTTGCTTCTAAAAACTTGTTGGCACAAGAAATAAGTTTATTGTTTTCAACAGTGAATTTGTTGTGAATGATTTGTTGATATCTTTAATGTATTTCTTATATAGGATGTTTTTCTGGAGCTTGAAGAGAAGGTAAATTGATTTTTTTACCATTAAACAATTTTTATAAGTCTTAACAAGAACTTACATAGCTGTCTTGAAGATAGCACCTTAATCCAATGTGTAATGATTTACATCAAGGCCTGATTGTAACAAATTATGACACAAATCCTCAGTGTCAATTTGTGAGTGAAATTCTGTCTGTTTTGTATTTTCTTACCCTCTTAGCAGTCCACAGAATGTTGGTTTTTGTTCTGTGTTCTAAATTCTATCCAGAGATCATACTATGATTACATGTACCAGTTGAGTAAGGTGTAGCAAAAGTTTGGTGACCAGGTTCCAGTGGCAACTTGTCGGTCTTTGATGTCATCGGCAGCAAAGCGTGGGAAATTGTAGGCAACGATGTTATTACCATTGGAAATGAGGAAAGTTGCCCGTTACAACACCATAATTGCAAGTCTAAAACTTGGTCATGGAAACCCTATCGAGGCTTGCTCAACTGATATTCCTAGTCATTGGCAGAACAAAGTGGAAGCTCAATCACCCAAGAACTCTCTTTGTGCCATCTCATTGCTATAATGTCAGTGAGCTTAGTCATAGAAACTGTGGCATTAATATTTAAATGCTTCTTTGTGTATTCCAATTCCAATTCCAATTTCTACAGTATGGAGAAATCGAGGAAATGAATGTGTGTGACAACCTTGGAGATCACCTTGTTGGCAATGTGTATGTCAAGTTCCGCTATGAAGAAGATGCTGAGAAAGCTGTTAAAGACCTGGACAACCGCTGGTACAATGGTAAAGTATAACATAACCTCGCATCAAAGTTTAAGTACACATCCCACCCTGAGGGGACTGGTGTTACAGAGTAGTACAATCGAGCAATTTGTTTATCTTGTTCAATAGTTTTCCTGTTTTCTAACATACAGGGCAACCAATCTATGCAGAGCTATCACCGGTGACTGATTTCAGGTAAACTTATTACATGTAATTTTGGTTGGGTTACATATACATATAGGTCTTTACATTTTCCAGGTCATACTCTTCTTGTTTTGTTTATGTGATGAAAGTAAATGATAGTATACATGTATAGTCCTGCAGTATAACCTTATGAATCTTTCAAACCATGTAATCATTAAATGTGTTTTTTATAATTTCAGTGTTCTTCTCATTGTTTTCTAGGGAAGCGTGTTGCCGACAGTATGAAATGGGGTATGTTGAGAATATTTTATTTATACCATAAGGACTAATGGCCTGGTCCCCTTTCTTGTTATCGTTAATGTGACCAAATGTTTATTATGACATGTTGTTTTTTCCTAGATACAATCTGATCAGCATTTTAGTTCTGCCAAAAACGTTTGCTCTTCTTGACAACTGTAGTACCATGCTTGTATTGCTTAGAACTTCTCAGAAAATTTGCTAATTTTCTTTAATTTGTTTTCCACCATTCTTGCCATACAATATTTACAAAAATATCACTCTTTTATGTCAAGTTTGTCTGATACAGACCTTTCACATGGTTAACACAAACATAAATTATGAAGAAAAGCAAACAAACTTGTGTGATCTACCCTTTTAACAATGTTGTAAAATGTGATATCATTGTGATTGTAGCAGTAATGTTATTAATTTTATTGAGTTAGAGAGTTTAACCATAACCCTTGAGTGAGTAGGTAGTGTCTGACTCTCTGATCCCCTCTGTTATGCAGTGAATGCACACGTGGAGGGTTTTGTAACTTCATGCATCTGAGACCGATCTCACGGGACAGCCGGTAAGCGCGACTCTGTCACTCAGCTTAATCCATTTGAAACCTAGTCTTCTTGTATGTTCCTAGAGAGTGTTCTCGCGGTGGGTTTTGTAACTTCATGCACATGCGGCCAATTTCAAGAGAATTGCGGTGAGTTGTAAGGTTTGATGCAAGGGTCAGGGAGCAGAGGAGGGGTTGTCGGTCAAGTAGGGGATGTTGTCTTGATCTAACACCAAATTCTTATGTATAAACGTTATAAAAAGCAAGTAAATCTCTAAGGAGAATTTCCTTGCTTTTTATAACATTTTGACCTTAGTGCTGATAGGGTTAGACACCAATATGGAGCTTGGGCAGACAATATTTCGGAAAAAGCTGTTTTAAAAGATGTTAATTTTAAAAGTTTTGAAAAATGTTACATGGCTTCTGACTCACTTATACAAAGCCATAGGATCAGCTTTGTTCAGAAGAATTTGAAAATGTTATTTTCAAAAGAATTATATTCACCAAGTTGAGCATTAACTTGAGTGACAATTTGTATCACAAGAACTGTTTCATCATATCTGAAAAATTCCTTCTGTTACAGACGAGAGCTGTATGGACGTAACCGACGCAAGAGAAGGTATGAGTTATTTTCACTGCTATTGTAGTCATTGCTACCATTTCATACTTAGGACGCTAAAATTCTGATGACGTTACCCTGAGATCACAGTTGTCTGGTTCTTCACACACTCAATTCTTGCCCAACTCAAGGGTCAAAGATTTACCCTGAAGAATTCTACAAGAATGGAAACTGTGATAAAGGTTTTTTTTTTTTGGTAAGAGAGGAATGTTTGATCAGGGGTTAATATAGGGTGCATTTCTTTGGGGTGCCTGATCAGGATCAGCGATCAAAGATAATGGGCATCGTGGTACATCAAAGGAACCAATGAATCTTTGCCCAGGGTGCAATCATTGGTTCCTTTGATGTACCATGACCTGAGTGATCTTGGATCCCTGATCCTGATCCAGATCATTCCAAAGGAACACACCCATAGCCTCCTTTGCAGATGCCCTTTTGGTTCGTCACGCATTCCTCCCTTTACATGAAATGTGTGGTGAACCTAAATAATGTCTATGTAGGAAACTAAGGTTAATATGAAAGATATTGTACCCTGAAGCTTGACAGAGGTTGTTGGTTGGTTTTGAATCTTTGCGTGCCAGTAACAGCAAATCCAAGCCCAACTTTACCATCCGTATTATATTTTTCTGGTTGAATCTTTGTCATCTCTTGACCAGCCAAGGATTTAGCAAAGAGGAACACAACAATATATTGTTAAAATGTACTTAATTTAAGCTGAACCCAGTGAGGGTTACCATAATGTGGGAAAATAATTGGTGCTCTATAACCTGTTCACGGTCTCTAATCGATGAGTACTTATGCACAAACTTGGTTGTCGTGAAAATTTGGTTTATCCCTCAGCATGTCCAAAAATTTCTATTCATTTCAGAGGTGCTGGTGCTGGTGCAGCCGGCGCTAAAGAAACATCACCACGGTTTGTACACAAACGGCCCTGAAAATTTGTTATGTGAAACACAGTGTTCTGCAATTATCCCACCCTTCCAAAATGAGACAAATATTCAATTGGACAGTTTTTCTAAACAAAAGCATTAAATTCAAAGCGATTTCATTGAATGAAACAGAATGCCTCTTCTAAACACTGCTTTTCAAATAATAAAGAGATAAATACAATAAATTAATATGTTTTTCTCAGGTATGTGAGTGCAGAAATCTGAAAATTTGTCCTTAGTTGCAAATTTTGTACTCTTAGGATGTGCTCTTTTAAGGAAAATAGTAGCAGCTGATTTCAATTTTTTGTATAGGAATGAGCCCATGGACTTGCTTGCAATAATGTAACTACTGCATTTCAAAATCACTGCAGTTTGTCTGAGTATGTTCAGACAGTTTTATTTCCATTTGGCAACTTAGCAGATAACATTCATATTTGCCCCTATGATTTTTTTTCTGGCATGGATTGAGAGCCCAACACTTTTCAAGATTCAAGGAAATAACCAATGAAATAACCACACGAGTATGGAGGCTTTTCTCCAGAGTTAACAATACAATTTTATTTTAATAATTTTATTTTCCAGCAACATCTTACAAAGTTAAAGATTTTCTTTTTCATCATTATAAAACAATTCCTTCCAGATCAAAACAGAATGTGACAGTAGTATCTCTAGCCATTTGAAAGTTGGTACAATCTTTGCTTTCAATCTTTTCTGGTGTTCTTGATGTAAAATTTCAGGCGGGGAGGTTTTTCCTCCAACTGGACCGGACGTAACAGCACAGGACAAGGTTCCCCAGCAAACCAAACACTGTCAGACATTTTCTCTAACTTGTAACTTATTTTCAAAGTTTTATCTTCTTTGACATGACCAGACTCACAGCTAAAAAAGACAAAGTTCTAAAGCGCTAACACTAACATTACCCACAGGATGTTCAATATCATTGTAACGTTAACGTAAACCCTGTTTCCTTGGTCTGGATTTGGTATTTTTGCGTTTAGACTTCCAACATTTCTTTTGCAAGATAATCTCCTTTCAAAAGTCATTTACTGTGACTCCTTATAAAGTAACCTTGTTGTGAAGTGGGCAGTTGTTGTTATGTCTTTGGCACAGCTCAAAATTGTGGAAGCAAAGTGTCTTGAGACTCGGATAAAACACGCGCCAGACGTTATTATTTCAACTCCGAAAAGAGTATCTAAATCCTTCAAATCGGTTTCTGTTGTTTTTGACTTATATGAATAAGTATTGAACTGCAGAAGTTGTAAACTTTATTGCTGTTGTATTTTCGTTTCCAGGTCTCGCTCAGTTTCTCCTCCGTACACCCGCCGTTCACGATCCAGGTCTCCACCACCGCCTCCCCGCCGTCGTTCCCGTTCCCCTCCCCGCCGAGATAGATCGCGCTCACCACCACGACGAGACAGATCCCCACGTGACCGAGACAGACGAGGTCGTCACTAAGAGGGGATCCTCTGTATCGCTATTATTGCTCTGTACTGTATAAGATATTGTAACTCTACTTTCAGTTCTGAGATCAGTTTATTTGCGTTGTTTGAAGAACCGACTTGGAAAACTTCCGACAACCTCTAACGTCCTGAAAACTTCGGGTTTTCTTGTCAGACTTAGTGGTAAGAAGTGACTACCGTTCAAGACATTCTTGCAGTCTCACGCGAAGAGTTCCCGACCCGTTATGCCCAATAGGAACAAACCTGAGCTGTTCTTTTCTCTCATGTATGTTAGGCCTGGTTCAAACGTCGAACTTTACATGTGCCGAACCTAATACCAATTTGGGTCGACCTAAATAATTAAGTTCGGCAGTTGATTCAAACGTCGAACCTAATTTAATCGAACTTAATTGCAAAAATAAAAGAGACGCTATTGCAAACGACGGTTATTGCTGACCAAAATGGCGGGAAAATGTGGGAAAGACTAATTGTGAAAATGAAGAGCTTGCTTTTCTTGCAAGTGCGATGAAGGAGGGTAGAACTATTCGAAGAAGGCGACCGAGATGCAATCAGCATTAAACAACCGAAGACGATTTTTGAATTTGGTTTGCCTGATATTATCGCTTATTCCCAAAGGAACATCGTAATTCCTCGTCCAGTTCGTTCCTGTCGTCGGTTTCTTCAAGATTCATTTATTTTGTCATTTTCTCTCTTAAACATGACTCGCAGTACGCCACCGAACTGGCTGCTTTCCAACCCGCTACAGTCTCATCGTTTTCAAATACGGAACACCGCATACAGAAGTGGTTTATGCAAAT